TAACTCAACAAAATGAAGTTCCTCTCATGCAGCCAGTTACTAGGGATTGTATTTTTCTATTATACCTTTGTGTATGCAGAAGAAGGGTGTTGGCATGAAAAAAGGAGTGCAATATAGTAACTTTAACATTTTCTGCTTCTGTTTCACATAATAGATCATCACCACTACTTGTTTAAAAGCTTTTAAACAAGTTTTWGTCTCTGCAAGTAAGATGGTGTCATTCTTGTGGGAATTACTATTTTCYCCACCTTTAAAACTTGTAATAACCTGCTGATTTAGAAATGAGTGTGTCCCTTGGCGTTGTGGTTTTTTTCATGGCTCTATCCTTTCCCTTCCTCAGGTYCTCAATCTAATTACTGTCAGTGCAACAGCTGCTGCCTCTGCACTGCTGAAATCTGTGTCTGTTCATTCCAATGAGTTTCCCTCTCATATCCAGGCCCAGCTGAGGTACCCTCTGCCTGTGCCTCCTGCTTTTGTCTCCTGCTAACTAATGACATCAAGTRTTCTGGTGTGCAGTTTGCATTAATAAGATGAAAACAGAAATTGCCCCACAAAAACACAAACARGCACTGAAAAAAACCTGTGTTGAGTGAGACAGTGGCTCATTTGGAGCCTTGTTTTGATAACCTTAGATTGGGAAAAAAATCCCACTATGCATGTTCATGTCTCACTGAACTCTTTCTTCAGCGAGTTAAGATCAGCTCCCTTTCCCGCCAGCTCATTGTTTGATCAGGAACAAGTGCCCGAAATGCAGAGCAACACAAAGAGATGTTGTGTCTGTTCATGTAGCAGAAGTGTATATATATATAGGACAGGACAGCATAGTCTGAAAATGTAATTAAATGTAATAAAAAAAAAAAAAAAGGAGTGGCTGTGAAAAACATGCATGCATTATTCTAATCCTCCTCCCTTCAGAACAAAGAACAAATGTGGCTGCTGCTACTCCAGTTGCAGCCTGTTTTTCTTGGCTTATAATCATGCATGAGAAGAATYAATTCAATAGAAAGTAAATGTAAAATCACGAAATAATTACCAGTAATGTGTTTATGATGGTTTCCTGTAAGCTTGCTTTCTTTCTCTTTCTTTGTCCACTCCAAAGCTCACAAAAAAGTATAATGTGAAAATAAGGGATGGAGGAAAAAATCCAAGCCAGTCTCTTTTTTTGCTTTTGAGCCATGTGAAGAATACTTTCAAAGGTGTTAATTTCTTTTACAAATGTTGTTTACTTAGGTTGTTTGTTCCTTTATASTAGAAATTCAGATGCACCAGCAGTATGGTGCAGGAAAGATTGGTGTTTGTATGAAATGAGGGAAACAGAGACGGGAAATAATGGGATAAGGAGCACAATAAAGCTTTGTCCTTTCTTTCTGCCACTCAGCCTTTTCTATTTTAAAGCTATTTTGTTTTTGTTTTATTCCCAGTAAAGCTCAGTCTTTCAAGCTCATTTTTCACAGCCCTGTAGACCAGAATCAGAATCTCCACTCCCTTCCCACCCTTCTAATTTTACTACTACAAACTAGAATTAAAAAAAAAAAAAAAAAAAAAATCAGCAATTTCAGGATAAAAAGGCAAACTGAGTTTGCCAACACTGTATGCGTGTACTGATGCATCTAAGGAATTGAGGTCATTTCACTGCTGCTAGCTGGTATTGCGCTCTTGGTTGTGTGGAAGAAGCCATGGAGTTAACTCCTCCATCTTCAACCCATTCCTACCCTCCCATCATGGTTTCTTCTGTTCATACTTAAATAAATTGACAAACTGACATACTAGGAACATGCTGACATGCTAGGAACATGCTGACACGCTAGGAATGTACTGAAATTTATAGGTGACATGAGCATTTACTTTGTCTCCTTGTCAAGGTAAGAGCTGTTTTTTTGCTTTTGTCTTCATGAGGCAGAAACAGAGAAAACTAGGATTTGCTTGGGATTTCTTGTTGAGCTGAACACACAAGTCCCCAGGGCTGCAGCCCCACTCCTGTTTGTGGTATAGACCCCGTCACTCACAGACATGCACGGACAGTCCCCCATTCCTGCATCCCCTGCGTTGTGCATCCCCAGTTGTTAGCCTTGGACACAGAGCCCATCCAGCAGCAGCTCTTCCAGCTGACCTTCAGGCTTGAGTCTCTTCAAAAGTGGGCCAGGACCCCCCTGATCTCTCCAGAATCCAGTTCCACTCGCTGCCTCACTCCCAGAGACACCTGCATTCCTGTCTGCCAAGCCACCTAGCTTGACTACCTGCTTAGCCAGCAAGTAGCTGCTGGTTTCTGTGGCTTTATAGTTCCCAGCAATTGCACACTCACTGCAGTTGCTGACACCACAGGTACATGGACTTTAAGACTTGTGTCCCACTGCAAAACCACAATCACCTAACAAAAGGTGAATAAATAGACTCACTGACCTTTGGACACCAATCATTCCCACATAGCGTGGAAAATATTATTTTTTCCCCCTAATTTCTTTTTTTATCTCTCTAATTCAAGAATTTTAAACTATTAGGTAGCTCCAAAACCACTCTGTGTTGGACATGACAGTGATTGATGCTTKGCTTTCTGGTCATCTTTGCATTTGTTTTTCTGTTAAGGTGTTTTCTGTRGTGTTTATCATCAGCACATTTATGTGCTTATATAAAGAAGATTCATGATGTGATGAATGATAACCTGGCAGGGTTGATGACAACAATTCTAATTAGTTTATTTATGTGCTACTACTTTTTTTTTTGCTGTAACTGGTAAAATAAGAGGGATGAAAAGGATGTGGGAACTCCAAAAATACCTCTCTCTTAGGCTGTTTATGCCCAGCTGTTGGTTTGGCTCCAGTCCTTCAGTTTCCCCCCATCTCTATCCGCTTTCTCTCTCTCTTTTTCCCCCCTCCACCGTTCAATCTGTTGCAGCTGTTAGAATTTCATCATTGTCTCCAAACGCCACATTTCCCATTAGCAGCAGAGCCCTTTCTGTGCTAAGGGGAATGCCATTTGTGTGCTTTGCATGTGTATCACTGTTAGATGATCTGCAGCCTGAGCAGTGCTTACACCTTTGATTGCAGCAAGGGCCAATTCCTCAGTAAGAGGCACACGTAAGATGCATAAATATTGAAGGGTGAGGTTTGCAGACTTGCTAGCAGAAAGTGGTTAAGCCTTTTTGTGCTCTGCTTTTCAGCTGCCTTTGCACTGTAGTTAGCCTTAYCAGCATTTGATTTAACACTGGATGCCAGCATATTTATTCCTTCTGGCAGCTTTAGTGCCATGTCACTCACTGACTGTCACAGTTGTATCATATATTAGATGGCTTATCCTAAAAAATTATTTCAGGTATGAAACCACTGCTCATTCCAATATGCTTAATCTGTATATCTGTTGGGCTTTTTTTTTTAAACTGATTTTTAGGTTTGTGTGTATTTTGAATCAATGGGTTTTATTAATTTCTTGAGTGAATTTCTTCTATGAATTTTTATGACTGTCTGCTCACTATCTTAATTTCTGCCTGATACCCATTTTGCACTTATCTTGGATTCCCACATAACCTCTGGTAGTGTCCTTGCTCTTTCCTTACAGTCCTTCATGATTAGAGTCTCTGATGGAGTCCTGCAGGTTTGGCAGGGCATCTCGATTTGGACTTGGGTGTCAGCTTGGGGTTCTGAGTTATTCATAGCTTGGTTCTATCTTGCTCCCACAAAATGGCCTAAAAGAGATGCTTATTACTGTGTTTCTTTGCTACCCTCCAGTTCTYTTTAATAGAGGTCTGATTTCCCCAGACTGCAAGGCCTTTAGATTTAATTTACTAGATCACTGGGAGGAGAACCTTATTCCAGGGAACAGAATAGGCTTCCAAATCCAAGCTGGTATATACCTGAACATATAGACCACATGTGTGTATCTGTGTGCCAAAATAAACCATGTGACCTTGGATRTGTGAAATGAAGTCATGGGACATCTGTGCTCCCTGTTGCAAAGCTTCTGTTTGCACACCTGAGCACTGAAAGCTTCATGCCATTGTACATTGCTACATTTCTACATTGGATGCATATTGTGAATTCTGTTGTGCAAATAMAACCTTATTTTGTGCAGTCTAAGATAGTTTAAAGCAAAATACTCCTGACTGGACTTGTCATCTTCTATTCTTCCCTCTCAAAAAATGCCAAGGGCATTTGCAGAACACTTTGACAATTCCAGATATTTTTCTTTTTTCTGTCATGTTTGTTTCATTAAATCCTTTGTAAAGAGATAGTGGATGCAAYTCCTTTTGCAATGTTAGTTCTCTGTGTAATGCATGGGCTGAGGACACTYTCCAGTCTGTCTGCCCCCAGCATATCCTGGTGCAGGGGGTTATTCCTCCTCAGGGGCAAGACTTTGCATGTCCCTTTGTCACTTTTCACCAGGTTCCTGTGGGCCCAYATCTCCAGCCTGTCAAGGTCCCTATGAATGGTGGCACAACCCTCTGGTGTATCAGCCAATCTTCCTGGTTTTGTATCTGCACATTTGTCAAGGGRAGACAGYGRCAGTGGCAAATACASCTYCACAAAATTCTCATTTACTCTGGTAGCTCAGAGTGAAAGCATAATCTTGCCAGGTGGCCTARGGAGAAAGAGTATTTGCTGGATGCAGTATAACTCCATTGTGTAAAGCTTAAGAAAGTTTTCCTCCACCTCAGGGCTCTTGGATTTCTCTGCTGACAAGGACTGTGTGTGACCTTTACGTGTTTTAATTATTCAGGAAGGATGTCCTGCACTACAGACTGCCTGCTAACAAAAAGTCTGAAATAAATGCTTCAAGTGACTACTTTTGATGCTTACTTTAGACCCTGTAAGTCAAAAAGATCCTAGCTGGAAATCCTTCGGAGACTCCAGGAAGCCCTGAGGGGCTGCAGGTGTTATCTCCCAGTACATAAGTAATGCTCAGCACATTTTGAGATGAAGGAAATGTGATTTTTTTTTTTTTTTTTGTAAATAAATACAGATTCGTGACTATCTTGGATGGACCTTTCTGTTTCTTACTTTTACTAGTCAGGAGGGACCTGCTCTCTTCAGTCTGCGACTTGTTGGCCACGTGGCTTTGGTTTGCTGCATGCAGGACAGAATGCCCAGCTCTGCTCCACCTGCTGAATGCTGCTGGTTGAAAATCGCATCTGCTATGGCTAATGCTCACAGTAAGCCATCCTGAAAGTGCATTTTTACCTTGTGTTTCTTGACCTAGAGGATCTGGGGWGATGACTTTAAACAACGTGTTGAAACTCTGCAAGCCCTGGTCTGAAAACAGGTGTTGAAAACTGATTGCCAACTTGCTTTGGGGATGTGGATCTAATCAGTTCATTCTACTAACAATGTTTTTAATGGACTTATCTCCTGCAAGTCTCATCAAGTCCTCTCTCCTTTCTYCTGCCAAATAAATATTCCTTAATAATCCCCAGATCTCTTCCTTCATCTTCATTATTTATTTGCTTGTTTAATAAATATGTTTTTTTTCCTCCCAGAAGCCTAAACTGACTTACATGTGAGCTGCTCCTTGGCTGAACCACATAGCAGTTGCTGTATGATGTGCTGGATTTGTCAGTGTTCTCTGAAAAACTGCTGCTACTCCAGAAATTCAGGATTGCAAACTGATGTTCCTGAGGCGTGTGAAGTGTCTTAGGAGAATAATAGGAAACAGGTCTTGCATGTCTCTGCTATGCCAAAGCAGTTAGTTCTGGGCTTCCTGCGTGGCACTGAGCTTCTCATTTCTAAAGCTGACAATGAAATTCTTGGCCATTTGCAGGATTATGGGCTGGATCTCCTATAGATCCCACAGTGCCAAGTGCCTTCCTACTTGAGAGTAAAACATTAGTGACTAGTAACCAATTMATTTAAACTATTACCTAAGCATCCTGCATAATTGCTTCATAAACAATCTGAATAAGCATTTTGAATGATGTTATTTTAAAATTCAGTTGAGCTAATTTATTCTCCCTAAGTGTATCTTTAGAGTAGGGTAGACTATTTCAGTGGGAAATTTATTTCAGATAAACTTCTGCCCTGTCAGCATCCTAATGGAGGAATTGCACACACAATCTGCAGCACCTTTCCCAAGGAAAGAAAAGGAAGGAAATGCAGATTTGCAGATTTTGTCCATGCCACTCACTTACAAATAGGTCCCTGCAGAATAATAATGAGCTTCATTGACTTKTTTTTTGGCTAAATAGTCACAGGCTTCACATAATATAAGCTGRGTACCACTTTAGGAGAGCTCTATATTATATTACATGTTTCTAGCTGCTGGTTCAAATTTCTAAGGTAGGATTTTTCTGATTACAAGCTGAAGTTTGAATTTCCAGCCCCACTGAATCCCCCTCCAAATCTGCTGACTCCCAGGCAGACTGATGTTTTAGTGGATTTGTTAATGTTCAAGCTACATTCTTACCATTCTTTTCTCACAGGAAAATATCTGTAAATAACTCTGTCTAAAATTTCTTACTCTGCTGGGTTTCCTGTCACTCTCAGGAACTTAAGTGCCTTCTTTATTTTGAGTGTTAGTCTATCTCCAAGAATAACCAACTGAGGGTATGATGATGGATCAGTGCCRTTTGGTTAAAGGAGCATATGTTGAAATGTGCTTTTCCTACCTTGTTTTAAAGGTACATAGCATCACTTTATCCTTAYGTGTATTAAGGGAGATTTTTATTTCTAGGTTTTAATTTTAAATTAGGATTGTTGTAACACTAGTTTCTTCCTTTGTTTCCTGTATGAGTCACTGGTTCTATGAAGGTTTAGAGCTTGAATCTCACCCCAAAACCTTTTCCCTCCACAACTCTTAAAGTTTTCAACTACAAAAGCTAGTATAAAAAATCGTATTTATTGTGTCAAGAACAAGGAGTCCAGTTTAACTAGGAAAAAACCTGCAAAGCTGTTACTGAGTATAAAAGCTAGCTGTAACCTTAAAATTGAATTTAAAGCTTTCTTTCCCTTCAAGACAATTGGACAAATCTAATGAGTCTCATTTCTAGTATTTTGTCTCATTCCCAAAATCACTCTTTGTAGTTTCTTTTGATTCAAAAAAGATGCACTAATGAACTCTATCAACAGAGGTATGTTTAAGCCAACCTTTTTGAACTTTTGCACTTACAAAATAAAATATTTGAATATATTTCCCTTTCTTTATATTAAAATATTTTGTAACAAGATTGTGGAYAATTGACAGTTTTACAAATTGACCTTAAGTGTGCATTTCAGAACTTTAAAGCAGACAAATTAAAAAAGTTAAGTCGGTGCTCTTTGTTTGGACCACCACCAAGTTCATTTGACACTTTCTCTCAAAAAAACCCAAATCACCCATTTGTTAYCCAGTTTCAAAAACTTGATAGAACATCTGAGAAGTGCTAGGTAGTTCACTTTCATTCAGGGACGTTATCTTGGATATCTGCTGTCTTTTTGTGACTTCAATTTAGGGAATCAGTCAGGACTGGCTAACTTCAGGAACAAATGGTGAGGACCTTCTGCACTGTGCTGGGGCAAGAACAAAATGTTCTCCATTGAAAGGCTGGGGGACCTCTAGCTATTGGAAGCCCTGAGCATGGAAAGTCTTGGTTTGCTTACAAATACCCCGTGAATTTCAGRATCTTTAGGTTTTCTGGTCTCAGGAGTCTTGCCTGAGGATTAGTCAGCTGTGTGGAGGGGAATGTGTTGTAACTGAACGCTCTCCTGCAGCAGGTAGGCAATTATATGCAAGAATGACACTGTAATAAGAACAAGCACGAGCTGTTTTAAGGWAAGATCTTTTTGCTCTGGTTGGCTGGCAGTTTGGACTTAATTGGAACTTATTTTATTATTCTGATAATTTATATTGGATTTAAATGCACTGTGCTGGCTGATATGAGTATATTAAATGTAGCAAATCTTCTGCTGGGTAGTCTATAATACAAGGCATTTTCAAGAGCTGGCAGGCTTTGTACAGGCCAAATTATCATGCAAAATGTCTGGGAGCATATGATTTATGCCAAAGGTGCTGTAAGATTGCATAAATKTAAGACTTTTATTCTCAACTACTGCATTCATACACTGAAATAATTATAGGGTGCTGACGATGCAGCACCATTTAAGAAAATGAATGACTTAATTTTACTTAAGTCTATTGTTAAAGATAAAATTATGCTACTGTATTAAGAAAAAAAAGAAATGAAAAAGCCTGCACAAGATGATGAAGTGCTGTCAAGTCATAGATCATAAYACTGCAACTGGGAGTTGCTCTCTGTGGAGGAATTGTATTGGTTTTACATCCTTTATTTAAAGTGTCCTTACATGATCAAACAGTTCATACAAATGTTAAAATTTGGTGAGAGCTCTGTTGCTGTTAACTTTTCATATGGACTGTCCAAGAGCATGGCTGGATCTGAACTGACTCACTGCTAAACCTGCTATAATTATTTATAATCATTGTCTCTGGCTGGGGATATCATTATTTCTGGTGCTGGGATGCTCAGAAGTAGAAAATTATGGGATGAAAATTCCTTTTGTGTGCACACAGTGCCATAGTGGCACCCCTGATGGTTGGCACTTGGGTGTGAGCACCTACACCATCAAATTGAGCCCACACTGTCTGCTTGACYGTGTCCTGTCTGGAAAACAGCTTGCTGTGTGTGTGGGCATTGTTTGTGCTGAATCTGGACTATCTTCTGCTTGTCTGTCCACTGAGACCTGCAGGGGAGGGCTACTGGCAGAAACAGTCAGTTCTGTTGTCTTCACCCTTACAAAAAACTTGGTTTTTCCAGTGAAGTATTCCGCTTTCCTTATGTGGGAGAGCAGATCAAAAATATGAGTAAACTATGGAAAAGACTTAAAAAAAAAAAAAAAATTCCCCACCAAGTTACCTGAAGAGGTAACTGAGCCAAAGAGCTTGGGCAGCCAGTGACAGGACAAAGAAATGATGCTGAGAGATGGCCCATTTCAAGCTGAAATGTGACAAATTGAGAACTAGCAGCCATCACCGAGCAGTCCTTCCTTGTGCAGCGCTGTGGCTCATTAGGTCTAATCCTCATTGGTCACCTGGTGGTTGCCTACAGCTGTCACTTTGGTGTAAGGTTGGTTTGGTGTCCCAAGGGGGAGCGATTGGAGCTGGAGAGGAGGAAGTGCAGGGAAGGATGGATGCTATGGATGTTTTACTGCACCATTTCATTACCCCCTGTGCAGCTCCCTTATCTAAGGACTCCGAGAGCAAATACAGTGTTAGCCACACAAATTTACAGTGCATCACAAGCTGCTGCCCCTTCAGCTCTTTCTCACCATCAACATTGAAGTGGGAAATGGGGAAAAAGTGCAGTGGGAGAGGAATAATAGCTAAATAGTTGGTGCTATTTAATAGCAGTTCTTTCCAGGTCAGCATGACACTGAAAATCCAAGTCCCAGTCATGACAGAAATTTTTGATAAGAGCTCAGACTTTTAATATTTGAGGTGGCCTTTCTAGTTTAAGTTACGGTATCTTAACAATTAGATTTTTTTTTCTCCACATAAATCCTCTAGTTTTATTTATCRTATTTCCAATTCTGAGCACTCTAATCTTCTTTTTTTTTTTTTTTAAAGTAAACCTAAAGTATTTATCTGTACCAATATTTATCTGGCAGAACAGAGTGGTGCTGGTATAAACTGATATACTGGTGCTCTATTTTCCCAGCCTTCCAGAAAATCGCTGGTCAGCAATACCTACCATGAAATATATGGTCTTCAGGTGATTTAAGTGAGGTATGTGAACTTAAAGGCTTTTGTGGAATGGTACGGGATTCTTCTAAGATAAATTTAATTCCAACTCTGATAAAACAAGTGAAAGAACTGCAAAAAGCTTGACAGTTGCAAGAGAGTGACCTATAGTAGGGTGACCTCTAAAGAAGGAAGAATGACCAGATTTGCTGTTTTTTTCCTCTCATCTGTGCTGCTTAAAGAAAGCTTGGGAGAYTATTTCATGTTTTTGCGACTTAAAACAATAGAAACTCAGATCTGGCTAAACATCAAAAGATGTTTTCAGTAATTAGAGAGCGGTGGCATCGCAACTTTCAAATTATTTTTAAAATAAATTATTATTTGAAGATCCCTATTTTTTCTAATGCAATTCAAGCACTTTCTGAATTCATTGAGAATTTGTAAGGATGGAAGAACCATAAGTGCACAGCAGAATTGCCTATTTTG